CATGTGTTCTATTCTTAGTTTCTTTTCTTTTTAAGCTTCTAAATACATTAGATGAGAATATCAAATACATAGAATTTTTTTTTCCAGAAAATCAGATAGGAAGAATTCCAACTCATTTGAAGGTGAGCATTATCCATATATAAAAATGACATTAAGATGCTAAAAAGAAAACAAACTTATGGGCCAATATCTCTTAAAAAGACAAATGCAAAAATCTTTAAAAATCAATCTCCTAATATATAAAAAGGACAATACATCATGACAAAATGGGATGTATCCTGGAAATGCAAAGCTCATTCATAATTCAAAAATCAGTCATTATAACTGCCCATATGAATAAATTAAGAAAAACAACACCATGACATTAGAGACAGAAACATTTGAAAAATATACTATGCACTTATAATACAAATTCTCAGGAAAGCAGGAATAAAAAAGAATTGCAATCTAATAAAAGATGCTCATGAAAACATAAAGCTAACATCAGAGAAAGTAGTTTCTTTAGCAAGGAAGGGAAACCACCTTAATTAACAAATGGCACCATTATCTACATATTAATACTAAACATGTATTCCCCCCAAAACAAACAAAAACTAGTACAAAAACTCAGTTTAGTAGAGTGCAAGATATATGGTCAACATACACAAATATTGTTGTTCCATATGCTGCTCCAGATACTAGTAAAGAACAATTGCAAATTCAAATTTAAAAAGAGTACCCATCACAAGAGTACCAAACTTAACTTGATTAGAAATATAGAATATCTAAAACTGAAAACTGTAAGATATTAAGAAATGAAAGCACAATGAATTAACACAGATAAAAATTTTAAAGAAGATGAAAATAATACTCATTTATATATAAAATATTACCTAATTAATCTTACAAATTCAATGTAAAGTCAATCAAACCTTTAGAAATCCCCATAGCACATTTTATAGAAACCAACAAGTCTGAAATTTAGAAAGACAAAATAAACTACAATAGCAAAAGCTATTTCAAAAAATTATGAATGACAAAAGAAAGAATTGTAAATTATATTCTATCAACATTACAAGTTTTTGATTTTCAAAAGACATGATTAAAAAATGAAGAAGAAGCCATATATTGGAAGCAATTGCTTGCAAAACCTGTGGGTGGTAAATGCTGATATCTGGAATATGTAAAGAATACATACGACTCAATCACACAAAGATATTTCCAATAAAAGGCAGAAAAACTGCAGATCATAAAATATAAAATGCACCAGTTTACAAATAATAAAAAATACAAAATGTATGTGGGCACTATAGCCAGAAAACCACAATTTTGCAATTGTTCATTACTAGTATCTGGAGCAGCATATGGAACAACAATATTTGTGTATGTTTACTGACCCTAAAGGTCAAGTGAGCAAGTTAGATAAACAGAGGACATTTAGTACCATAAAATGTATAATGAACTTACTTTTAAACTTTTTCATAAAGAATATTCTTTCAGAGCATAAACCATAAAATTAAAGATTGACATACCTACCAAATGTTGAGGATGCAGAATGAGAATCAGATAATTTTAATAAAAATTTACTATGGTACAACCTAACCTTAGAATCTATCATATTTCAATTCCTCCCAGCATATTATACGATACATTGCAGCAAATATAACAAAAGCTTTAAAAACCTTTTATACGCAGCTTTAGTAGAGCTAATAATAATATTTTAGCCAACTAAAAATGGTTTTATCATATTAAGGTGCATTACACTTGAAAACTGATTATACAAAGCTTTCCTAAAATGGCAAAACTCAATATTTCAGCTACCATTTCTAGTCTCAAAGTACATATGCTAATTATAATCAGTCATAAACATCACAAACTAGAAACAGCAACGTGTTTTGTGCAGAAATACTCCTTTAACTCACAGATCTAGAAAAAAAAAACGTACCTAAAATTCATCTGGAAGCAGAAGAGACCTAGAATAGCAAAAGCAATTCTGGGCAACAAAGGAAAGGCAGGGGGCATCACAATTCTTGACTTGAAATTATACTACAAAGCTACTGTGATAAAATCAGCATGGAACTGGCAAAAGAACAGACCTGAGGATCAATGGAACAGAGTAGAAGATGCAGAGAAAACTACAAATATATTTAGATATATTTGACAAAGAGCCAAACATATTCACTGGAGGAAAGATAACCTCTTTAATAAATAGTGCCAGAGAAACTGGCTTTCCACATGTCAAAGGCTAAAATTAGATTCATATCTATCACCATGCACTAAGCTGAGTCAAAATGGATCAAAAATCTAAATATTAAAACAGAAACAGTAAATTTATTGGAAGAGAAAGTATGTAGAAATCTTGAAAACACAGATGTAGCCAGAAAGTTCAAGAACAAAAAACAAACTGCACAGGAAATACTTCAAAGAATAATCAACAATTGGGATATCATCTTACTGAAAAGTTGTTACACAAAAAATAAAAATATAGCTCTAAACTATTAGTCTAACATGTAAATTTTGAATGACAATGACAGGTTAGGGTACATATGTTTGGGTACATATCCACTGAATGGATGCTAGTATTGTCTATGTATACACTGTATGGGCAATATATGTACCCAAAGTTAACAAGAGTTATTTCTGAGTTTACTCCAGTATGTGTTACATTTATAACAAAGATTAAAAACAACTTTTACCTTGTTTTAGCTGAAGAGATACTGCTAAGTTTAGGTATTAATCACATGCAAAGTCACAACTGTGCTCACAAAACAAAATGTATATCAAATAATTTTTAGAATTCTATGACACTATTATGGGAACTTAGATACAGCAAATCCTAACATAAATACTCACTCCAATCTGCGTTTTTCTGCAGTGTGGGTTTTTACATACTGTGTCTCTTAGAAAGGACTGCACTTGTATTTCCAGAAACAAATGAATTCCAGAAGATTCTTGGGCTGCCTTGTGCAAGGCACATATATTATAACTGAAACACATTGGCAATTTTGATCATGAAAAACTGGTTATGAAGGGAAAATTGGAAGAAATCCGTAAGCATCTAGTTTCCTACTAGATGCTGTCTAAATGCAGACCAGTGTTGCAGACAGAAAACAGAAGCCAGCAATGAGGACAACACTTCTATCTCAGACTCACAGACATGTAGCCTCACACAAAGATCACAATTCTTTGACAGAGTCATCCATCCCCTTAAGCATAGGTTGGGAGTGCAATTTTTTAACTTACGTTACACTGTGAAAGGGGATACAGTTGATTTTAGGTTGATGAGTTCAGATTCCAACAGCTGATCTGCCACTGACCTTGAATTGTTACATACAATAGTTGCTACTGCTGCAGGAAATTGAAAAGAAGCAAGCCAGTGCAGTTTTCCTACCCATACAATGAGATAGGTACTCTCCAGGGATGATAGTAGTTCACATAGTTTGAAGAACTGATTGCCCTTGTTTAGAACTTCATGGAACACCTACTTACAGTCCGGTACTGAGAAATGATTCTCCCCTTATCAGGCTGGCAGAGAATGCTGAGGAAAATCTCCCTCACCCTACAGAAATAATCTGCACCTAACACCTGAAAATCAATAACATATCAATGTTTTCAACTATTGTGCATGTATCCTGTTGTGTACTACTCTGTCCAGAGTTAAGAGTTTTCAAGCACGTCCATCTATTATAGCATAATGTAACCTGCAATATATCATTACTGCATGAACCAGTAGGCATATGCTGATGTTATCAATCCCAGCATAAGAAAAACATGAAGTGACAATGTTGTCCAAGGACAGCAGCTATTGACAATGAAGCGAGAACACCTCAAAGGAAAAGCAATTACATAAACCTGAAGTACTCTAAACAGGTGGTAGATGAAATTCAAGAAATAACTATCAGAGTCACATCATCTCTTTGTGAACATTATTCACCTTCAGTCAGAAGTACAAGGTCCAATACCAGATCTTTTCTTTTAAAAAGATGATAACTAATAGCTTAAAGAAGCACAAAAAAGAGTAAAGGAAGCAGAGCTCATCTTTATAGTTTGCAGTGGTTTCGGTTAAGCTCAGAAAAGACATTCTGAGACTCAATAGGCATGCCAACTCTTCATTTTCCTTCAAAAATTAAACAGGTGATCATGCATTGCAATTACATAAATTCTGACAGTTTTTGTCATGAAGTCAACCACAGTAATAGATTTCTTGTCTTTCTTTGCCAACATATTAGCTATCAATTTCTACAAGCATTATTATTATTTTTTTTTTTTCAGTACTGGGGATTGAACTCAGGACACTGAGCTTGCCAGGCAAGTGCTTATTCTACTGAGCTATCTCCTCAGCCCTCTACAAGTATTATGAAAAAAAAAAAAACCAAACAGATAACTTTTTATACATTTTAAAAATTTCTTTTTTTAATTTTCTGGTCATTTTAATGAGAAAAAAAGATAAAACTGCAATGAAAATGTTTCAAAACAGGTTAGCAGGACAGTTACAGTAATTAATACATTGTATATTGTTGTCTTTGACCATTTGAAAGTTTTTCAATTCTGAAAGCAAACTCCCAAATTCTGTTCAAGGCGTTAGGGAAAAAAGGAAGGCGAAAAAACATAAAAATCTAGTGATGCATTTAAACCAAACAAGGGCCTGCCATAAATATAAAATAACTGATGTCACCAAATGCAGTGAACATTTGATGACAACAGGAGGAAAAATTACAGTGGAAGGAGTTTGGGGAATAATAAAACAGAGATAGGTTGCTCTAATACATCTTCAGAAACCCTGGTAGCCTATCAATTTTTGTAAGTGAAATACACTACCCTCCAAGTAATGATGACATCACAATTTATTCTTTTTCTGGTTATTGCCTTCCATGGTGGAACCTCGACCTCTTATATAGAGCTCTCATAAATATACAGTACTTTCTTCGTGATTGAATGTGACAACTGGCAAACTGCAAGAAAAGCCTTCTCTACATCTTTAAATATAGAGTGAGAAGATGTATTGTGCAGGTTTATCTTACCGTAAAGCTCTCGGGCCAAAGAACATAAACAGCTCTTTCCCCAAAGTTTCCACACCACTGTAAACATATCCATTAAACAGTCTAAGGAAATTCTGGCTGGGATCTTTACTATCTTGCAGTGCAGCAGCCTAATAGAAAATAAATACACATATAAATATTCACATACATGCAAACCATAAACAAAACTATAATTTAATTCTTAAATGCATTTGTATTACACCATGTCTGCGTACATTTCAATGAGAAGAATACACTCCAACAAGGCAAGTTTAAACAATCAGCTGTTTACATATATTTTGTCCAGTTACTATATACTAACATAAAGAAAAAGTACAAAAACATTCAAAATGAGTTTCTCCCAGCTCTGCTCATTTGAAAAGAAAGCACAGGATCACAAGGCAAATACTGAAACTAACAACTGGAATACAGCCTTCCATTTCCAGACGGGTAGCACATGGTTTACTGAACAGGACAGATAATGATGCAGACAAAATAACTTCAACTGTGTTAGTGAACTTTTAAGTCAGGAAGGCATAACAAGAGATCAAAGTCCAAGTACAAGTAGGATGGGGTAAGTAGGACCCAGAAACCACACTGTACCATAAGGGCATGCACTATACCCAAAGATGAGACAGCTTCAGTTTCCTTCTTCTTGGGTGATCGTAGGGGATCAGCTGCACAGCCTGCATGGGGGCCTGTGTTAAAAATCAAAGTCCATTTCCCTTTCCCCCATCAGCCTTGCAAAACTAAGCAACAGATGATTAAAATTATGCACTGAATAATATAAGAAAATCAAGAAAATAGCCAGCAAGGCATCAAACATAGGTTCTGTGGAGAAGAGTAGCATTTAGCATAGACACTAGTAATGTTCTTTTTCTTAAATTGAGCATTAGGTATACTGGTGTTCCTTGTATTATAATTTTTTGTTACTTACATATTTTATAAACACTACATAATTTACATTCAAAATTCAATAAAAATTTAGAACTTATAAAGCCATAACTTTTAGGTAAAATAATATAGGTACATTTACTAATATCCATATATTTACACTTAACTCAAGGTGGCATCTTGCCTCTAACTTGTTTGTTCTTTTTCTCAAGGGCCCTAAGGATCCTGAACATAAATCAGCTGGGATGGGGACCATAGCAGGTAGGTGATTAGAAAATAGTTCTAGATATAGAGCCTAGAAGGAAGTCACAACTTTTCCTCAGCATAAGGTACAATGATTAGTTTTTTGGTTAACAAGTATTTGTCATTCTAAATGCATAAGATGATGTGTCCACATCATATTTGAGTAAAATTAGCCTTTTTCTTAAAAAAAAAAAAAAAAGATAACATGGTAGTATTCTTCTGGTAAATCTACTTAGGTTGTAATGATGAAAGCTAATGCTAAAATTTTCTAATTGATTAAAGTTCAGTGAACTTTAAAAGACTTTATGCCCCTATTTTGCATAATAAGCACTGGATAATTAGCCACCAGCTTACAATAACTGGTAATGTTATGGTCTATGTCTAGCTGTCCCCTCAAGTCTTTGTGCAGTCGTTGGGGTGGGCTTCCAGAATTTGTCACTGATTGATGATTCAATAATGGCATTAAGAGTGTGAGCCTTATACTCAAACAAGGGCAGGTAGCTTGTCTACAATATAAGGGAAACATCTCTTTCTCCTTCATCTCTCATGTTGTTTTTGGTATCTTCCATTGCCATGAAGCGTTGTCCCCCTGCCACATCCCACCTTGCTCTAGAGCTAGCTGATAACTGAAACCTCTACAAAGTGTGAGCTAAATAATACCCTCCTTTAGCTCTGGGTGTTGGGTATTTTGTTTCAGCAACAAGAAAAGTTAGCAAGATGCTGGATGTTGTGGTGCACACCTGTAATCCCAGCTACTCAGGCATCTAAGGCAGAATTACACATTCCAGGCTACTCTTTTACTCCCAGGACCCCAGGCCTTGGAGCTGATCTATTACAGCTACCCAAGATGAAGGAAATTGAAGCTTTCTCATTCTTTGGGTCTAATACATGCTCTCACGGTAAAACTTGGTTTCAGTGTCCTGCTTAACCTACCCTTCAGGAGTCTATCATACTTTTACTTACTGGGTAAGATCCCTTCTTTAAATTTTAAATAAAATTTAAAAATGTCCCAGGGAATAGCTTAATGGTAAGATGTTTCCTAGTATAGTTGAGGCCTTAGATTCCTATCTCCCACAGGCACCCCCACCCCCAAGGGTCAGACTTCCAGTTTGCTTTAGTGACCAAAAGAACCTACAGGACATTGTAACATCTGGGAGGAAAGCTACGCATATCACCACATCCTCAGAAGTTCTGCCTCTGATTTCTCTTGCCTCATTTGGATGAACTTGAGAGTTTAGCAATGATTATTGAGCACTGGCAAGGCAAGTTGAGTACTCAGTGCAGGATAAGACAGCCTTTCACATGTGCCATGCTTGCATAAATACATCTGTCGGAGTCCTGAATTGAGAAGCAACAAGAGTCTTGACACTTTTTGCTGCACAAGAGATTTAAGCCACTTACATCTACTTCAAGCCAATACAGTTTACAATAGCAAGAGTCCAGGTAGGTTTCCATGACAACTGATTAACATGAAAACTGTTCTCATAAACTAGCCAGGATAGTTTTTAGATGATGATATACAGATCAGATATAGATCTATTATGAGTAAGATAGAGATCACTTTTTGTACTTGTAGGGTCTCTGGCTTAAGGTCTTATTATCATCTAAAATCTTTATACTTTAATGAATCAGGGCTTAGATTATTTATTTATTTTTGTATTTTAGGGAACGGTCTACAGGTTGCTCAGGGTCTCACTACTAGATTGGACTCCTAGTTATCCGCCTGTTTACACCCTCCCAAGAGCTGGGATTACAGGCATGCGCTACCACTTGCAGTCTCAATTGCTGTTTCAGTGCAGGGCAGGCTCGGGGATCAAATCCCTGGCCCCTGTGCCTGTTTGCAGGCACTTTAATCTGCTGAGCTGTTTGGCCAGCCCAAGGGCTTAGTTTTTCCATCACTCTAGTATTAACCACCTCTTCCCCTCCCCCACCTTTTCAATGTTCCTTACCAACAGCTTTCGACCACATTCTCTGAAATCTTCTGGCTTCTGTTAGGCCTCCCACCATCATGGGTGATGAACTTTACACAAATATTCAACACACACACAGTACTACACATTCACATAGCACACCTTCATATATAGCAACTTTTCACAGTTTTTTGTTTTGATAAAAAAAAAGCTACTGCTGCTATCCCAATGTCCTAATTTCTGATAGCCCCTTTCAGTTTTACAAGTTAAACCCATAACTAGATATCCATTCAATATCTGACTGGCTAAATAAACATCCTGCCAGCTGTCATATAAGTTTCTCATGGTAGGACCTTTTCAAATCTGACTGCTCTACTTCTCTTCTCCTGAATTGGAAACCTCAGGATCAGGCTACTTTCACTGTCTGCTTGCTGCCCCACCCTCCTTTCCTTTACTCAATTCTGTCTACCATTTTTTTTTTTTTTTTAGTGGCTCCTGGCAAAGAAATAGATACATATCCCTGAAATAAACAGTGCTGTCACAATTAATAAAATAGTAAAGAAGTTCCAACTGTTCCATGTGAAGTCTGTTCATGCTGATAAATTAACTGCTTTGAGAAGAATTTACATAATTTAAAAATTTCAGAAGCCTACAGCGATAATGATTCATCTTTTCACTTGGCTTTGTCTACAGCACAAATATTCTATCTGGAAAGACAAAATGGGTTATTCATGGTCATTTAATTAAATCAATTCATTTTGGAAAGTTCACTGAACTTCCACAATGCATCAGGCTTTGTTTTTAGAAGCTGGGGATATGTCAGTCAAACAATTAAAAACATCCTGTCCTTATGTAGTTTACATTCTACTAAGGGAAAAGCATAGGCAATGAACCTAAGAACACCTTATCTTAGAAGATTTAGGAAAGAGGTTGAGATAAGAAAGGGATTAAAATTGGGGGAGTGTGTAACAGGTTACAGTTTTAAAGGGTAACATAATCTCATCATTTGAACAAGTTTTAGATGACAGAGAAACCCTTAAGTCATACAAAATGAATGGCAGTCCAAACAGGTCAGCATGGCCACAGCATACACAATGGAGTATTAGAGGCAAATTAAATTTGATATACAGTAGGAATAAGATTATGTGGTCCACAAAGTCCTATCAGAGAACTGGCTGTTTTTCAAATAGCACTAGAGTAGAAGAAAAATGTGATCTACTTTGTTATTTTAAATTGTTCTTTAGCAGCAATAGGATTTTGGCTGAGCAGATTGAGGAGGAGAACCAGAAAAGTACTTTAAAGTCTACTGCAAAAATCTTGCCAAGAAATGAAGGAGATTTGGACAGTGGAGATGCAGGACACATTGAAAATTGGTCAGATGTCTAAACACGATTGAAGACAGGAAGATCACCCACTCAGATGACAAAGACTTGTGCAAAACACATTAGAAAAGGAAAAAACCATGGTATTAGACATATGAAGGTTGAGAGGTGTACTGGAAACATGCTGAATAAGCAGATGGATATAGAAGTCTGGATTTAAGAGAGATGTCTGCTCCAGAGACAGGAAATTGCTCAGTGATATGTAGAGAAATGGTGTCTATAACTATGACACAGAGCAGATAAGCAAGGGAGCGGCCTAGATAAAGGACAGCCCAAGAACTGAGGTCTGGGCTACTGCAGTGCCATGTAGGTGGGGCTGAGAGGAAGCGCTGCTGAAGCAGCCTATGACGTCACAGCGAAGAGCAGGAGAAGCTAGCAAGGACACGGGGAAGGCAGTTAGCAATGCGAGTCCAAAATCAAAAAAGCATGTGGTCCTAGAAGCAAATGAAAAACACATTTTGAGGAAGAGGCATGGGGAGTGCTACTTACAAATCAGGTAAGATGAAGACTGAGACCTAACCACAGGATTTAGCAATTTAGTAGTAATTAGTGACAAACCAGCATTTTAGAAAAGTGATAGGAGGCAAAGAACTGGTTGTAGTGCCCTGTATGAAAACAGTGAAATGTAATTTATGAAGCACACATTGTATAGCCAATGCTGAGCGGTAGGTTCTGAAAAGATGCATTTTGCTTTCCGTCATT